ATTCCTGTACTGACCGGCGCGGTGAAGTATGGTCAAACAAACTCCCATAACCGACACGGAGTGGGCCGGCCTTCATTCCCTGCTGGCTGAAGGTGTCCCTACACCGTGTCGATCATCAGGAGCCCTTCAACGGCGGGAGGGCTTCGTCCAGCAGTCGACCAGGTAATGGCTGTCTTTATTTATTTGTGTTAACAGTCAAAAGTAAACGTTGCAACAACAACAACAATATCCTCTGTAACAAGCATGGGAACGTTGCACGTATCGATGTTTCTATTTGCAGCTTGCGCAGATGCTTTGGCATGAAATATTAGCAAACGATGCTATTAATACCAGCTTCCCTTGCTTTCGGGAAATCCCTGATGGCACCAGGGGTAAGCAACGCTGTCGTGGCTCTACGCGGGGGCCTCGGCGGGCTTCGGGAAGAGAAGCGCTCTGAGATCACCGCCAGACGCGGGGGTGGTCGGGGCGAGTGGCTGGGGGTGGTGCCCGGGGCGAGTGGCCGGGGGTGGCCGGGGGGGGGGGTGCCCGGGGCGAGTGGCCGGGGGGGGTGCCCGGGGTGGGGGGTGGCTGATATCCGGAGCGTACTGGTTGTTCCGTGAATCGACGAGGCGCTCTCGGGTGTTCTGGGACGCTGCTCCCTCGGAAGTTTTCAATCACACAGATTATGAAAGACGTGCAAGAGAGCCGTGTGGATATATATATTTTTGTCGTTGCTGTTTTCAAAAATAGAATGTCTCACAGAAATGAAATGTCCAAGGGTAGTGTACTGGTCAAGTTATATCTTGATGACCTTGTGGCGCCTCTCTGGCACAAATGTGCCATCCAAAGTGCATCCCCTGCAATGTCTTGCTCATGCCACTACTGGCCGAAGAACCTCCACTAGAAGTCGCTTCCTGGAGAGACCCTCTAGAGCAGGGGTCACCAAACTGTTTTCACAGTGGGCCGGATGTCATGGAAATGGCGTTGAAGTACCCCCACACTCTGTACCGCCATCCTGGGTTCAAATCCAGGCAGCAGTCTGTGATTAATCCGGATGCTCGAGTGCAGTGAGTTGATGATCTCAGCCCTGCCAGCAATGACAGCACAAAAGCACCGTCACGTTAAATTTGTTTATTTTAACTGCACAGCCCACTAATTACCATTATGCATTTTCATATATCGCTGGCGGCGAATACAAGATAGCTGCTAGGCTAAAGGTCATTTGCCTTGAGGGGGTGTGAGTTATGGGTTAGACAATGGAGCTTGGTGAAAATCAGTCACATAACAATGCATGGATGCATAAAATTAAATCTATTTTGGATGCTAATGATCATGTCAAATTGCGAATGTAAAAATGTATGCCCAAATTACATATGGCGTATTCCAATGCACTACATTGCGTTGAATTCGAACTGGTCGCAGCAGCTGCAATCACATATCCCACAATGGGATAATAGAAGAATCGCCCTAACGTGTTTGCAGTGCACGACAAAAGTGGAACACATTGTCCACTGCAAGCCTATGGGTCTCTGTATGAGTCTGTGGGTATGTGTGAGTCTCTGGGTCTCTGTGTGAGTCTATGGGTCTCCGTGTGAGTCTGTGGGTTTGTGTGAATTTATGGGTATGTGTGTGAGTTTATGGGTCTCTGCATGAGTGTGAGTCTGTGTGAGTCTATGGGTCTCTGTGTGAGTCTGTGTTAGTCTACAGTACGCTGTGAGTCTCCGGGTCTCTGTGTGAGTCTATGGGTCTCTGTGAGTCTGTGGGTCTCTGTGTGAGTCTATAGGTCTTTGTTCGTCTATGGATCTCCAAGTGAGTTTGTGGGTATGTGTGAGTCTCCGCTTCTCTGTGAGCCTGTGGGTCTCTATGTGAGTCTATGGGTCTCTGTGAGTATGTGGGTCTCTGTGTGAGTCTATGGGTCTCTGTGTGAGTCTATGGGTCTCTGTGAGTTTGTGGGTCTCTGTGTGAGTTTATGGGTTTCTGTGAGTCTGTGGGTCTCTGTGTGAGTCTGTGGGTCTCTGTGTGAGTCTATGGGAGTATGTGTGAGTCTACGGTTCTCTGTGAGTCTGTGGGTGTCTTTGTGAGGCTATGGGAGTCTGTGTGAGTCTACGGTTCTCTGTGAGTCTGTGGGTCTCTGTGTGAGGCTATGGGAGTCTGTGTAAGTCTACGGTTCTCTGTGAGTCTGTGGGTGTCTGTGTGAGGCTATGGCAGTCTGCGCATGTCCACTGTGAGTGTTCTCCCGAGGGCACCAGCGGGATTAACTCACTGTCGGTTGAAATCAGACGCATGATTCACGACTCAGACATCGATTTATCGTTGCTACTCAATTCATATCGATAAGAAAGAAAATGCGTGCTGCACAGCGATGGTTGTCCAATCAGTCTCGGTCATTTAAAGCTGTGCAGTTTGCTGTGATAACGTTCAACATGCTACCACAAATCAATTCCTGCCACCCGACCACATGCAAATTCCTGGAGTGTCCGGTCATACTCGGACAAGTGGCAACCTCATGGTCAACATTTTGAGAATTGAATATGAAAAGCACGCAGAGAATGAAACCGGTGACTTTTATTTTGAAATGTGCTCTAACCCAACCAACTCCTAAAGTGGTGAAGGCAACTCCCTTCGTGGGGTACACTATTTGCACGTGAAGACAGGCTTTCTAAATAAACGTATTGCATGCGTGTGTATTTTTCTATATATTTTTTTAATTTTGACCACCCATTGTACCGCGTGTGGGCTACTCCTGTCGCAGTTTCAGGATTGTTTGGAATTTCCTGATGCATTTTTTAAAGTTAGTTTAAAGAATAGAACTTTGATGGGTCAATGTTTCGACTTTTTTCCGTTTATTGTGTTTAATTGAACCGTAGAGAAATAACATTCTTACTTGGAACATTATATAATGCATTTCTGTACGTGTTTTTTAGTTCGTAGCACTACGAACCCGGCAAACCAAGTTCGATTCCCGCTCACGGCCAACATCAGCGGCGATTATCTGAACCGGTCCTGAGCCTCCGCTTGGTCGACTCAACCTCAAATGAGTACCTGGTGGGGTATGTAAGCATCGCCACTGGGGAGACAAAGGCGGCCGGGTGTGGTGCTGGCCACCCACCCCCTCGTGTGCCGTGCCGGCCTTCATAGGTGCTCGCGAACAGCCCTTGCTTGTCTTTGTAAAAAAAAAAACATCATAAAACAATAACCTGCTTAGGAATTTTAAATACTTCCCTTGCAACCCAATACCCGTACATCTGAAAACCTGCACATTCTGCAAGTATGTTAACTTATCCTTCTCTATTCACCGCCGCAACACGTTGATCACACACACACGTGCTTGCCAAAGAGCCATTGGAAAACTTCGAGCATGCAACGGCCTCGCATTGCCCCCTGCTGGCAATGGTTGAAGATGCAGCGGTGAGTCGCGCGTTACCCTATGGACCGGGGGCTGTCACGGCATGGCTGTGGCCTCAAACAAACTACAAACTATATAGAGTACTTTGGGTCTTTCGGTAAAGTCATGTAGATAGATTCAAAGAAAATAACAAAAAACGATTAAAAAAACTACGACGTTTCCTGTTGACGAACGCTTGTGTTGTGATCGAAACGTCGCAGGTTTTTTTCTTAAGATTTTTTGTCATTTTCTTTGAACCTATCTACGTGACTTTACCGAAAGACCCAAAGAATATGAATTCCTGCAGTCACGAAAGCTTTAAGCCAAGATTTAAACTACAAACTATTTTTCACGTTACCAGGTAAGTACCCCACTTAGCTCAGTTGCTCTTTCTTTATTTACAGAAGCGACCTGGATATCACAAACCACGATAGCTCAACGAAGTGGCTTATCGTGTGGAAATGTATCGGAGCCAGATTCTCTAAACGCGCGATGTTGATTCTAAACGTGGAGGGGGAAAAAAACGGAGGACCCGAAGACAAAATCCACGCGACCACGAGGAGACATGACAACTGCAAATATACAACAGGCGTCAGGGTCGGGAGCGAACCCACGACGTCTTGTAGAGCAGGCGAGGGAGTTAACATCTCACCACCGTGGCGACCCACAGCAGTAGGGGTGCTGGCCCATCAAATTACATTTGTCCCTCACACCCCCCCCCTCCCCCCCTACAACTCTCTTATCGATGCATAAAATCACAATGAGATGATAGAAGAGATGCAGAGAGATACGAGTAACATAGGGAAGAGTTAGATAGGTGTCGTGGGACGAGACGAGAGAGATGCAGACAATAAAGAGATACAAAAATGGGAGCTTTTTGCCAGTATGAAAGTAAGAATACGTTTAACCCTTTCTGGCAATAAAACATGAGGTGTTTAGATGTTTCAAAGACAATGTATGTAATATTATCGAAGCACGAGTGTGTGCATGCTCGCAAGTACGTGTGGCTAATGCGAACTTTGATTCCTTGCAAAAGAATTATAGTTGGTGTTTGAACATCTTAACACTTGTTTTATTGCCGGAAAGAGCAAAACCTACTCCTATTAATTCATAGATATAAATTACAGAGAATAATCGGTTGTTTATGTTCATTCTATTTTAATTACTGCTTTTTTATATTAAAATTTGAGAAGATATTTGACGCACCGCTGTGTTTCGTTCACGAATCTGGGTTTGCATGCGCCCAGCGCCGCCACCCATTTCAACAACGACACCCCAACGAGTACCGTACACAGATAAAACGTTCCCCGACTCCTCAAATTAATTGCGTGGCAGGGCTTGACCCCTTTGTGGTCCTGAAGTAGGAACGGCAATCCCACATTCCCCCACGGCAAGACGGCCGATGTTTTAACTTCCCACCGATTTGTTTGTGCAGACTTTGCCAGATGGTGCTCAACGGCACTTCTGGTGATCTTCGTGATGATGGAGACAATTCTAAAAAAAAATGATAATAACGATGAGGCTGATTCCCAACCTTGGCTTAGGATTTCAGCTCGTGTTGCACAGGCAAAAGCCACTCCCGTTGAGGGAAGAATTAGCAATCAAGATAACTCATTTGCAGTGGAGTCTTTTCATTCGTTGCGCCGCATCACGTCGGCACCCGCCGCTTTAACGAACGGGGATTCCATTCAAGTTCAATCTCGATCCTTATCACAGCAAGCGGGAGATCAGCGTGGTCTTGAAGTTGTTCCACTCCACCAGACACTGAAGCTCCTGCTGCAGGCTCTCGTGTGATGGGTACGGGCTGAGCTGAACACACAAGATAGGCGCGGCACAGCATAATTAAGGAACAATCAGTGCTGGGACAATCGGTCAATCAAGTAAATTCATCAGCTTAAAATTGTCATCGACAACTCTTTTTGCGATCGATGATTTGTGTTCTCTGATTAGTCGAGTAATCGAACCGATAGTCTGCCACCAATCACTTGACCAAATAGCCTGGAAAAAGTATATTTTTGCATGAAATATCAGAAGCTGAGCAGGGATTTTGAGCCTGGATCGTGCCTGGTTGGTCGATCGTTGTGCAGGCCAGGTAGTCACAGGTGGCGGTCTAGTAGCGCCACGCCGTGGGCAGCAGGGGGCAGTGCAACCAAACCCATTATTGTACTGCGCTTCTATGCCACCGCGTATGCTATACCGCAAGCCTTCACGAGCCTGCACTGACCAGCTTGGCGATGTTAATGGTCAATAGCCCCTACAACCCACACGCCATTGGGGCAAGTCCTCATCCCGCAGTGGACGACGAATATGAACACTCTCAAAGGGATGTCAAACACCACGTAGGGGAATTAAAATTAAAACACCACACCCCACGTCTTTGAGATCACGAAGCAACAGGAAACGTTGCACTGCTATCTGATTGAGCTGTTTTGAGGTTTTGGCCGGCCACGAGAGACTATTTAGAGGTTGCAGTCGTTTCAATCGCATCTGCGTAATTGACAGCAGCTGTGGGCAGGGAATGCTACACTCTGCAGCAAATCAATCGACTCCACCGCAACGCACGACCGCTAGCCACGTCAACCACACCTACCCAGAGCAGCATACACTCCCGCCCATCGGTTTAGGATATTTTTTGTGTAAATGCAACAACATCGTGGAGCATAAAAGCGCTTGGAAGCAACCGCGTCGAAGGAGAGTGTGCAGGAAACGGGACGCGATTGTCGAGGTTATTTAAAGAGGGGACTTTTCTTGAACAAGCCGTTAGTGCAGGGCACATGGTTAAAGAGCAAACAGGAAGGGTAAAGGATTGAATCAATATATTTCATTGATAGCGCCAGTCACAGGAAACAATTAGTCTTGAGCCTGCACTTGTAGAAAATAATTAATTCTCAGTATTAAACCAGGAAAGCCTCATTCGAGTCTCAATACTGCTCTTCAGGTGGTTCCTGCATCGTGATAATTGGCCAATACAATCCATGTGGGAGGAAATCGGAGAACCAAACCCCATCAGGTTTACGAGGGGAGTGTCATCGCCTGGCCACACATCGCAGCCCCGTGACTACGACACCTGGCAAGGCCTCGCGGTCACTCGGCCAACAACGAACCAGGCTCAGGCCTGCTTAGCCTCCGAGATCTCACGAGACTGAGTGCACTGTGGGTGAGTTGGACATCGGCGTAATGGGAACTTTCCAGGTTGACGTTTTGACTTAAGTCTCATTGAACAAATCATATCTCGTCACCTTAATGAGTTAATGATGATAATGATGAGTACATTGGGTTTTCGCTACATTAGTGCAGAAATTATTTTTGCGACACTACATGTGCCATTAAGAAGGGCCATCACCCGAAGCGTTGCCTATGATATAGTTGTTCCTTTTAGGGCAGTGTTATTGCCAAACGTGTTGAGACCCTCGTTGTTATTATTAGAATCAGAATCGTTATTTAGACTGGAGGAATCCGATGAGCTATGAAGCTCTTTTTCACAGACGTCCACTGTGACTATAGGGCAAGGCCATCACGAAGGCACTATGGTCCCTAGACGGGTATAGCCTGCCAGTAGAGGCCGATGTTGCTAAGCAGTTTTACTCAATTCGCGTATGTATGTTAAACTGTGCTAATCGGATGTGCAGGGGAAGGACAACAAGCTGAACACGAAAAAGAGTTCTAAAGAAATACATTTTCAATCGAGATGATGATGATGATGATTTAAAAGTTAATAGCTCTAGTGGTTTCCTAATTTTGGAAGGAAGAGCGTTCCAGACGGCCGCAGGGTCGCATCTGAAAGCGCGCGATGCGGTGACCACCGTCTTTGTTCGATGGTTCGCCAAAAGCCGCTGCGGGGATGACCGGAGTGCACGCGGTGGTTCATGCTCCTTGACGAGATATGGGACAATGGCCTGCGGACGAGACTAACAACGCAGTGGCTGCCCAAGGAGATAACGCTCCTCGAGGGAGCATCCACCCTGGATGTTGAGCGATGCAATCAGCTCATGTGCAAGCGGCTATGGAGATGTGCTGCTGCTGCTGCTGACCTTCTTGCCCAGGTGCTGAATGTAGGCGTCGTCCACGTGCTTGCGGAAGAACTCGCGCGATATGAGGACGCACTCGGCCCCCTCGGACACGAGCACCATGCTCGTGCTCTCCTGAAACACCGTGTCCGCGAGGCCCTGCAAAGCCCACGGCGCGGCGATGGACACGGTCACACCACCACCGACAACTCCCTGCTGCCCCGGAACGCTGTCGCACCGTGCCGAGTGATGGTCAAACAATCGCCCCTCATCCAGCGGTGGCAAGTCAAGAGGCTGCGTACGTGTACGTACATGTACGAAATTACTCATTAGTGTACAACGTTCGTGGGCAGGGATGACTTGGTAGATGTAAATAAAAAAAATGTACACTGATTCACGAAGTGTTTTACAAGCAGGTAAACACACTAAACATTACAAATTCAGGAAACGCAGAGGGAGTGTTTCACGAACACAAACCAAAATAATTAACGATATCTGCCATTAACGCTTCCCTGTACCAGAAAAAAAAAACCGAACAAATGTAATAACAATCTTATATATTGCAGTATGATGTTTCGCAAAATACGTTCGAAATTCAATATGTATGCAAAAATAGCCAAGAGGAGCTGCTTACGAATATTTGTCCAGACTGCAGGCTCTGCACGTGCACGTACACCTTGTGGGAGTCACCAGGGCTGCTCCTGTGGCTCGACATCCCTGACCCCACGATGCCGCCGTTCCTCGTGTCCCCGGTGCCGCTCTCACCCTCTCTCGTGCAATCGCCACCACCACCACTGCCATCACCACCACCACCACCGGCAACATAATCACCACCGCCTCCATCATCACCACCACCACCGCAACCCTCAGCTCCAAGTCCAACCATCGCGCGCCTCTCCTCGGCCTCTTGGGAGCTGCGCGACACCCCGCCAACAGCCTCCCCGCCTGCAGGCGGCGATTCGCCGTTCGGCAAACCCCGCAGAGACGGCGGTGAGGACCGAGGGCCGGCGGAGTGACCGCCGGCGAGTTTGGGACGAGCCTCCGGCTGCGGCTGCCCGCGCGCGTCGCTGCCCGACCGGCCCGAGCCCCGGGCAGCGATGGTCTCCTCGTCCAGCGAGCCTCTGCGGGGCCGAGCGTCGGCGGCACGGGTCCCGCATCTCCGCTTAGCCGGCGCCAACGCCTTCAGCACTCGGACGCTGCCCTGTGACGTGGAAGCGCGGCAGAGGAGAACTGAGACGAGGTGGGTAGCGGTATCCAATCGGCACGGTGGGCACAAGTGTCTAGGGCCTACAAAAAAACGTCTGGCTGTCGCCTAATGAAGCCAGTTGTAATTACCGGCGAAACGTCGTACTCAGATTGTAAATGTTGTGGATTTGCTCTCCAACACACCGGTGTGCTGTACTAGTGACGAATTGGCCACGTTCTGTTTACGTGACAAACCTTACTAATTGGCTGTGTCGGGTGGTGGCGGGTTTAACGACACAATTATATATACGCGATCTAACAACAAGAAAAACCCTAGATCATGGAAAAAACTAAAAGGGCCTACGAACAAAACTATTGACCCTGTTTAATTTTGTTTGTATGCATGACAAAATAAAATGTAACCAAGATATCTTCTTGAATAAATATATTTATATCGCAAGGATAGCCACAGTGTGTGTACACGTCAATGTAAAATCGGTTATTTTTTTCTTTCATAAGGTGAGAGAAATGAACACCGGATATGAACTTTCCGTGTGAAACAAGCGGAGTGACAGCGGCGGTAGTAGTAAGATGGAGCAGCAGCAGTAGCAGCTGTAGAGAGTTATCACTGAAGGCCAACAGAAGTGTCTAGGGTCCGACAAGAACCTTCACCGGGTCCCGGGATATAAGGGGACTTCGATCATACGCCAAAGTTTACGCACAGCTACTTGTCCACATTCACGCCACCGTTCGGTGATTCCTGCGTCGAAATCGTTATTATTATTATTATAATCTTCTAAGAGAGGAGCGCTCAATGGAGGCGCACGCTTTGGAATTACGCTGAGAGACAGCAGGAGGGGCGTACGGCTCGGAGGAAAAAAATGCAAGCGGGGGGAGTGATATTGAGAAAATGCAGTGCGCTAGGGCCGGACACATCGATAGAAAGGGCCGACGGTCGGCGCTCGAGACTCATGACGCAGCGGCAGCCACAGCGAGACGCCCGAGCGATGGCAACCGCTTGGAGAGACCGTCATTCAGCAGTGGATAGATCGCGGTTGACTGATGATGATGATGGAGAGCATCGCCATTGTCATCATGCTATTACTGAGGAATTGAAAGATGTTCGTCTGACATTCTGCTGACAACTTGAGAACTAAAATCAGGACCCGGATGAGTAAAGCAACAACAACAACAGCAACAAAAACATCACGAAAAATGAAATAACATTTACACAACACAACTTTCTTTTTTGAGACGCCATGCCCCGACCTGGACAGCAGCAGAACAACATTTTAACGGAGAAGGTTTATCAGCTCGGTGCCCACTGCCTCATTGCCACCTGCGAGTCGCAAGGCAATCGATAGGGAGCGAATTCTGGAGATGGCGCGACAAGGCTTGTCTGGACCACGAGAAGATAGAGAGAGAGAGAGCGAGCGGGAATTACAGGGCCATCTGTCACCCTTTCCATTGTGGCAAATGGGTGGGAAATGTGAGGACGCGGCTGTGGAAGCGCTATTTACTCATGTCAACGTCTCTCTGAAGCGAAGGGCAATTGAGCCACAGTTGAAGCGTTACGAGTCGGGGTCAACTCAGCACATCGTCCTCTGCCGTACATTGTTCGAACACACAAATTTAAATCGTGGAATTCAGTTTACATTCTCCATGAATCCCCACCACTCCACCCCCGATAGTCTCGCACTGATCCCCAAACAATGCCTGCAGCCTCCTTACCCCCACACCCATTACGAACGCCTGCTTTGGGCTGTGAATCTATCACCGGCAACCCGGTGCAGACACCGGCGGCCTCGCGGTAGCGCATTCTCCGCTCGCCGGAGAGCTTCGCAGTTCGGATCCAGCGGTGGCTCCGGCTTCGACCGCGGCGCGTAACAGCCGCGATGCCCACGAGCCGTCTGCTGTGCAGCCGGCGGCCAAGTTCCCGCGACGTAAATTCGCAAGAGCGCGGGGGACATCCCGTGCCGGCGTCGCAGTCCAAAAGCACGAAATTCGAAAAACGACCGCCAATTTGCTGGACGAATGCACCGTGCGTTCAACTTCGTTCGCGCCGTACGTCGCCGGCCGCGCTGATCGGAGGTGCGGGACTCAAATTGACCAATACGCAGCAATTAATTATCAGCACCCTGCTGCACGAAGCTTGGTATGATCCTACTGACAGGGAGCCATGAGACTCGGCGAGGCTTTCCTGGGTAAACAATCGTGGTCTCAATAATAATAAAAATATAATGTTGCCCCGCTCAGCAGGTCTAGCTGCAAGCTGCAAAACGCAGCCTGATAGATGAATTGAAAAAGGCATAGAAGAGGTGCAGGGGGAAGGGGGGTGATGGTTGAGGTGGGTGGGACTCACCGACTTGACCACGTAAAGCATGTCTGAGGTCGCGGTGTCTTTACAAATAACAGCTCCACGCCTGTAACGAGCACACACACACTTAGCAAACATTTTGCGCGCAACACACTTCAGCCCACCGCCTAGCCACATTCCACGCCGTCACGATGCTGCTGAACGTGACACGTGGGTTCTCACAGCCAACGCTGCGATCGGTCGTTTTGTTTTTGTACGTGGCCTAAGCCAAACATAAATCATCACCGATTGATGTCGATTGTTCATACAAGGCAACCTCGCTGGCCACTGAATTCCAAGGCTTATTTCCAATTTTAATTGCTAATTCATACATTTTGCTCAGGAGGTTTCGAACAATCGTAATGGGATCACAGTGCATCGTCAAGATCAAATGACAACGAATAACACAACGAGGTTGGTATGTGGGAGCAAAACCAGAGTAACCAGAGGTAAACGAATGCGGAGAGAGGGACAGCACTCCAATGTCTGCACGAAGCATTTGATGACATCTCCTGGCCACCTCGCAGCCGGATTGGGAGTTTCGCAAAATACAAAACACTAAACTATATATTTTTTTATTTAACCATATAAGGCCCATCGAGATATACAGCTCTTTTTTTCTTCAGAAGAGACCTGGCCACAAATGAAAGCTCAACGAAGTGGCTTATCGTCATGTGGACATTTATAGCAGCAGCTAAATACTCGAAACGCACCTCGATTATAAATGTGGAGGGGGAAAACCGGAGGACCCGGATGAAAAATCCACGCGACCGTGGCAAGAGAGAGAGGGAGACATGCGAACTCCAAATATATAGGCGTCAGGGTCAAAGGTTGAGCCCACAACCTCCTGTACACCAGGAGTCGTCGTTAACATCTCGCCACCGTGACACCAAATCTGCATGAACCACGGGCAATGTGTCACGTGAAAATAAAATCTAAACGTTTGCACGTCATGGTAATGCTCCGCAGGTGTGTCACTTGCACAATGCTCACCTTTGTGTTTGTCACAAGCTATACATCATAGCCAGTTATGGGATGCCTAATGATGGCACCCACTCATTGTATGCTGAATTGACCGAGAGGAGGATCGGTAAAGGTTCCGATAGGATGCCAATTGGCACTGTAATTATGTTTGGCAAGGAATCGATGCTGGGTGGCCGGTATGGCATCGCAGCACACGAACCACGATCAAACAACAGACGCCGACTGGTGGCATCAATGCGACGCTTTGGCCAGGTTCGGTGCACTTTGAGTGATGAAGTGTCAAAGTCTTACTGGCAGGATGTCACCGGACAGGTTTTGTGTGTTCATAGACTGAGATGAGTGGAAGATGCACCACCTGTGCTCCCCTCTGTGCCACCTTGCTGTGTTTGAACCGCACGGCGCTCCGCTCGTTGTCGCGAGCGTCGCTCCTCTGCCCTCCGCCGATCTTGACACCGCTGGTACCGGTCATCGGCAAGTCCACTAAGCTCCTCATCCTTTCCAGCCCGTGCCGTGCCCGTTTCGACCCCGCTACCCGGCCAAACAAAAGCTGTCTCGGGCAGGTGGTGGATGAGCACGTGTGGGGAGCGGTGGCGCAGCAGTTAGCGCGCTACTCTACGAACCCTGTGACCCGAGTTCGATTCCCGCTCACGGCCAACACCGGTGACGATTATCTGAACCGGTCCTGGGTCTCCCCTAAGTCGGCTCGGCCTCAAATAAGTACTCGGCGCGGTGTGTAGTAAACATCGCAACTGGGGAGACAAAGGTGGTCGGGCGTTGTGCTGGCCACCCACCCCCTCGTGTGCCGTGCCGGCCTTCATAGGTGCTCGCTAACAGCACTCGCCCCAACAGTCTGTTAAGGCTACATGTGGAGGAGGGGGATCTTTGTCATTGTCTTTGTCTGGATGAGCATGCCGACTCCACGACCCAGCCAACGCAGCCTCGCCTGGTCACGGATTCCGAAGCGCTGGCGAACCTAAAGTAGCTGTGGATGCACACGCTGGTGCTGTCGAGCGGGAGCAGGTGGAGGGGCCAGCCTTGGAACTCCTCCAGGGAGCGGAGGAAGCTGACAAACTCGGGCTCGCCACTGCACACGCCGTTCTGCATGAAGATGTTCACAAAGTCCTGCAGCAGCAGCAGCAGAGACACACAGTGGCCACGGGTGTGCGTGAGGACATGCAGGGGTCACCGCGTTGACAATTCTGCACCCAGGGCTTACATTTCTCACCGAGTCATTTTCAGGTCGCTGGTGAACCGGAGGGTGACGGCGACTGTGAATGGTTGCGACAGCCTTGTCGAGTGGTGTAGCGGTGCGGTGCTGTGTGTGCCGATTGCGCTCTCTGGGTGGGTCGCAGACCCAAGCAGACCCCGCTGGAATGAAGCCCTGACTACAACTTGCATCATCGCTACTTCAGACACCCTTACTACTGCCCAACTTTGATGGCGTCTACCAGTGTTAATCATGTGCCGGTGGGAGCATGGGCTATATTCGGGGAGGAAAGTCCTCTTGCTGAGCCCCCTGATTTAATATACTTCATGGGTTGCCATGTCTGCTCACGACGTCTCTCACTTTACAGTTAATTCTTACTGGAAAGTTGTAAGGTGTGTCACTAAGAAGTGGTCGTACCCTTCATCCATTTGTCAATCCACAGATGGATGAAGGTTGCCTTACACCACGTCCGTCGTGGGAGTTGTATGTCCGCACTTCACGAGGCTGGTGAGTGAGCGTTAGGTCAGGGACCGGTTCAGATATCGGTCGTTATTCGTGTATCGTCGTGGCCAGGAATCAAACTCAGGTCACAAGGTTAGGAGCGCTTCCCCCCCCCCTCCCCCTCTCCATTTAACCATCTAAATAATACTCGTCGATTACGCACGCGTAAAATGCGTTGAAATAATAAGTAAGTTACGACTAATTTTTTTGTGTAAATATCCGTAGGCGATGTGTACTTTGAAGGATCACACATCAATAAAAACGCTTGTGACTCGTGCCCAATTACATTGATTTTTTTTTTTAAGCACTTTTTTTACGTGACACCCCCAGATACATTGATGGGTGGGGGTGGGGGGGAGACCACACCTGCGGATGCCAAAATTTAGAGTTCAACATTTCACAGTGAGTCTTTACATATGCTGTCATTTAAGCGAGCCAGCCCCATGCGCGTTGCCTCATCGTGTTCACAGCAGTCATCCCTCTCCTGCAGTCATCACTCACTCGCCTCGTTCTATTCACGTAAATTACGCAACGCGCATCAATTTTCGCCCCTGTGTGTGTTTACCCCGCGCAGCCAAATATGGAACTCCTTCACATATACGCAATGAAGGTGCAAGGTTATGAAATGAAGACTCTAAACCCGACACCACGTTTAAACAATGGGCGCTATTTGTGTTGTTTATCGGGGCGGAGACCCACCAAGCCTACGCAGGAATGCAAGGAACTCTAGTTCGAGCGTATTGTATGTGCGTATGTTGAAATTCTTTCGCACCGTACGTAGCCAACCGCGCTAATCGGAGGTGCGCGTGAAGGACAACAAATTAAAACACAAAATTTAATTTCTAAATAGTTGAATTTTCAATCCAGGTGATTTAAAAGTGTTTACAGAGCGTTCCAGACGGGCGCGGAAGCGCGCGAGAAAGCGCGCGATGCCGAGGCCGTGTTTGTTCGATGGCCAGACGAGAGCCGCCGCTGCTGGGAGGAGGAGGGAGGAGGAGGGAGGAGGGGGGAGGAGGAGGAGGAGGAGGGAGGGAGGAGGAGGGAGGGAGGGAGGAGGAGGGAGGAGGGGGGAGGAGGGAGGGAGGGAGAGAGGGAGGAGGGAGGAGGGAGGGAGGAGGGAGGGAGGGAGGGAGGGATGGAGGGAGGAGGAGGGAGGGAGGGAGGAGGAGGGAGGAGGGGGGAGGAGGAGGGAGGAGGAGGGAGGGAGGAGGGAGGGAGGAGGAGGAGGAAGGGAGGGAGGGAGGGAGGAGGAGGGAGGGAGGGAGGGAGGGAGGAGGAGGGAGGAGGAGGGAGGGAGGAGGGAGGGAGGAGGGAGGAGGAGGAGGGGGAGGAGGAGGGAGGAGGAGGAGGAGGGAGGGAGGAGGAGGGAGGAGGGAGGAGGAGGGAGGGAGGAGGAGGAGGAGGAGGAAGGGAGGGAGGGAGGGAGGAGGAGGGAGGGAGGAGGAGGGAGGAGGAGGGAGGGAGGGAGAGAGGGAGGAGGGAGGAGGAGGAGGGGGAGGAGGAGGGAGGAGGAGGAGGAGGGAGGGAGGAGGAGGGAGGAGGGAGGAGGAGGGAGGAGGGAGGAGGGAGGAGGGAGGAGGAGGGAGGGAGGGAGGGAGGGAGGAGGAGGGAGGAGGGAGGAGGAGGAGGAGGGAGGAGGAGGGAGGAGGGAGGAGGGAGGAGGGAGGAGGGAGGAGGAGGGAGGGAGGGAGGGAGGAGGAGGGAGGAGGGAGGAGAAGGGAGGAGGAGGGGGGAGGAGGAGGGAGGAGGAAGGAGGAGGAGGAGGGAGGAGGAGGAGGGAGGAGGAGGGAGGGAGGGAGAGAGGGAGGAGGGAGGAGGAGGAGGGGGAGGAGGAGGGAGGAGGAGGGAGGGAGGGAGAGAGGGAGGAGGAGGAGGGGAGGAGGAGGGAGGAGGAGGAGGAGGAGGGAGGGAGGAGGAGGGAGGAGGAGGAGGGAGGAGGAGGGAGGAGGGAGGAGGGAGGAGGGAGGAGGGAGGAGGAGGGAGGAGGAGGGAGGAGGAGGAGGGAGGAGGGAGGAGAAGGGAGGAGGAGGGGGAGGAGGAGGGAGGAGGAAGGAGGAGGAGGAGGGAGGAGGAGGAGGGAGGAGGAGGGAGGGAGGGAGAGAGGGAGGAGGGAGGAGGAGGAGGGGGAGGAGGAGGGAGGAGGAGGGAGGGAGGGAGAGAGGGAGGAGGGAGGAGGAGGAGGGGAGGAGGAGGGAGGAGGAGGAGGAGGGAGGGAGGAGGAGGGAGGAGGGAGGAGGGAGGAGGGAGGAGGGAGGAGGAGGGAGGGAGGGAGGGAGGAGGAGGGAGGAGGGAGGAGAAGGGAGGAGGAGGGGGGAGGAGGAGGGAGGAGGAAGGAGGAGGAGGAGGGAGGAGGAGGAGGGAGGAGGAGGGAGGGAGGGAGAGAGGGAGGAGGGAGGAGGAGGAGGGGGAGGAGGAGGGAGGAGGAGGGAGGAGGGAGGAGGAGGAGGGGGAGGAGGGAGTGAGGAGGAGGAGGGAGTGAGGAGGAGGGAGGAGGAGGGAGGAGGGAGGAGGAGGAGGGAGGAGGGAGGAGGAGGGAGGGAGGGAGGGAGGGAGGAGGAGGGAGGAGGGAGGAGGGAGGAGGGAGGAGGAGGGAGGAGGGAGGAGGGAGGAGGGAGGAGGGAGGAGGGAGGAGGAGGGAGGGAGGGAGGGAGGGAGGGAGGGAGGAGGAGGGAGGAGGGAGGAGAAGGGAGGAGGAGGGGGGAGGAGGAGGGAGGAGGAAGGAGGAGGAGGAGGGAGGAGGAGGAGGGAGGAGGAGGGAGGGAGGGAGAGAGGGAGGAGGGAGGAGGAGGAGGGGGAGGAGGAGGGAGGAGGAGGGAGGGAGGGAGAGAGGGAGGAGGGAGGAGGAGGAGGGGGAGGAGGAGGGAGGAGGAGGAGGAGGGAGGGAGGAGGAGGGAGGAGGGAGGAGGAGGGAGGAGGAGGGAGGAGGGAGGAGGGAGGAGGGAGGAGGGAGGAGGAGGGAGGGAGGGAGGGAGGGAGGAGGAGGGAGGAGGGAGGAGAAGGGAGGAGGAGGGAGGAGGAAGGAGGAGGAGGAGGGAGGAGGAGGAGGGAGGAGGAGGGAGGGAGGGAGAGAGGGAGGAGGGAGGAGGAGGAGGGGGAGGAGGAGGGAGGAGGAGGGAGGGAGGGAGAGAGGGAGGAGGGAGGAGGAGGAGGGGGAGGAGGAGGGAGGAGGAGGAGGAGGAGGGAGGGAGGAGGAGGGAGGAGGGAGGAGGGAGGAGGGAGGAGGGAGGAGGAGGGAGGGAGGGAGGGAGGGAGGAGGAGGGAGGAGGGAGGAGAAGGGAGGAGGAGGGGGGAGGAGGAGGGAGGAGGAAGGAGGAGGAGGAGGGAGGAGGAGGAGGGAGGAGGAGGGAGGGAGGGAGAGAGGGAGGAGGGAGGAGGAGGAGGGGGAGGAGGAGGGAGGAGGAGGGAGAGAGGGAGGAGGGAGGAGGAGGAGGGGGAGGAGGAGGGAGGAGGAGGAGGAGGGAGGGAGGAGGAGGGAGGAGGGAGGAGGAGGGAGGAGGGAGGAGGGAGGAGGGAGGAGGAGGGAGGGAGGGAGGGAGGGAGGAGGAGGGAGGAGGGAGGAGGAGGGAGGAGGGAGGAGGGAGGAGGGAGGAGGGAGGAGGAGGGAGGGAGGGAGGAGGGAGGAGGAGGGAGGAGGGAGGAGGAGGGAGGAGGGAGGAGGAGGGAGGAGGGAGAAGGGAGGAGGGAGGAGGGAGGAGGGAGGAGGAGGGAGGGAGGGAGGGAGGGAGGGAGCAGGAGGGAGGAGGGAGGAGAAGGGAGGAGGAGGGGGGAGGAGGAGGGAGGAGGAAGGAGGAGGAGGAGGGAGGAGGAGGAGGGAGGAGGAGGGAGGGAGGGAGAGAGGGAGGAGGGAGGAGGAGGAGGGGGAGGAGGAGGGAGGAGGAGGAGGAGGGAGGGAGGAGGAGGGAGGAGGGAGGAGGAGGGAGGAGGGAGGAGGGAGGAGGGAGGAGGAGGGAGGGAGGGAGGGAGGGAGGAGGAGGGAGGAGGGAGGAGGAGGGAGGAGGGAGGAGGAGGGAGGAGGGAGGAGGGAGGAGGGAGGAGGGAGGAGGAGGGAGGGAGGGAGGGAGGAGGAGGGAGGAGAAGGGAGGAGGAGGGGGGAGGAGGAGGGAGGAGGAAGGAGGAGGAGGAGGGAGGAGGAGGAGGGAGGAGGAGGGAGGGAGGGAGAGAGGGAGGAGGGAGGAGGAGGAGGGGGAGGAGGAGGGAGGAGGAGGGAGGGAGGGAGAGAGGGAGGAGGGAGGAGGAGGAGGGGGAGGAGGAGGGAGGAGGAGGAGGAGGGAGGGAGGAGGAGGGAGGAGGAGGGAGGAGGGAGGAGGGAGGAGGGAGGAGGAGGGAGGGAGGGAGGAGGAGGGAGGGAGGAGAAGGGAGGAGGAGGGGGGAGGAGGAGGGAGGAGGAGGAGGAGGGAGGAGGAGGGAGGAGGAG